ATTTAAAAAAAGGTGCCGTTTGTATAGAGCCTACGCTCTAAACAATCAAATTAGAGCCTACCTTCAAATAGTATCGAGAAATGTGGTTTCAATACTGGAAATATTTTTGATAGCCTTAAAATATAATTTTATATCTATTTATAAAGTTTACAGCTTAAAAAATAGTGTAGTTCAAGAGATCTATGAAAACTTGAAAATTTTGAAAATTGACAGTAAAAAAATGTGTTATAAAATATACTATTTTCAAAAGTTGAAATCTATTTTTTTTCTCATGTCCATGCATCTTGATGTTGAGATGATCAATTTGAGAATATTTGGGCATCAAAACAACCTCTTCTAGTGAAAATTTTGAGGTAGGCTCGAATTTGATTGTTTAAAGCCTCGGCTCTATATAAACTTTTTCCTTTAAAAAATGAAGGTCCTATATGCAATATTTTTAAGGGTAGATTTTTTTTTTTTTTTAACTCACAATATATGTCAAGGTGAAGAAGATCAAGGGCAGGGTTGTTCCCCGTAACAACTTTTTTCAATGACCGGTCCGTTACATGAAAGATATTGCATTGTTTCTTGTTCGTTTTTAAAATATCAAATATTTGACAGTTTACCCTTTTAATTTAAAAAGGCCATCAAAATGATAATGAATTGTAATAGTTGAAAAGGGTAACATGTCAAAAGGGCGTGGTTTGTATAAGGCCAAGGCCCTAAACAATCAAAGTAAATAGCACCTTTAAATAGTGCCGAAATATGTTTTTTTCAGTATCAGAAATTTTTATAATGGTCTGAAAATTAATTTTTATCTCTAATTATAAATTTTAAATATTATTGTGTAGATCAAGCAAATCTGTTAACACTTAAAAATCTTGAAAATGAAAGATCTAGATAGTGCATTATAAGATATACAATTTCCAAGACTTAAAACCTGTTTTTTCTCACGTCCATGCAGCTCGAGGTTGAGATAATTGAATTGAGGGTTTTTCAACATCAAAATAATATCTTCTAGTGAATTTTTGAAGTGCTTCTTAATTTGATTATTTAGGGCCTCACCCTTATATAAATTTTTTTCTAATGTTAAACAATCGACAAGTTAGGTGTATTTGATAAATTTCCCTAAATGTAACATAATGTCTCACATTCATAATGTCGAAATCCTATTTTACCATGGATTACAATGGGAGAAATCGATAGTGCTGAAAGCCCACTTTCCAAATGTTTTAAGTACTTCCATGCCCAAATCCAAAAGGCCATGATATCAAGGGTGCAGCAACAAAGTGCCTTGAAGTATGGGCGTCAAACCTAAACTTCGATAATTAGTCCT